ACCTGTCCATAACAGTTACAGTGCCACTCAGAGCTTTAAATCGCAAAAATCTGAGGGGCACTACCTCTGCGCCCGTCGCCCTTCAAAACCGGAACACAGTAATGCTGACATTACTGCTTGGCGGCAGAAATAGGTAAGGTGGCAGTACTTCCCTGGACGAACTCTTTCACAAGGAACTCTACTGCTACTAAAACTACTTGTTTACATGGACCATGGCACCCGTCCCTATCTACCGACCCGAGAGATATGGTTTTCCGGAGAAACTATGGGCTCGACGGCAAGACCAAGGTATAGCGGGCGTCCGGGCCAAGTCAGTGATACGCCTTTGCGGGCGTCTGCACACCCAATTCCGGGTCCGCCGGAGGAAAAAACAAATTAGATGTCATTTCGTCTCTATTTCTGGTTATATACTCGATGCATTCTTTACCTGTACGTGTGGCGTATCTCGGGCAACAACCGGCGAATACCTTACTGGGGTTTGTGGTTAGCTACAGAGATATTTGTATGCCCCGGTATTTCATGTTTCCGGTGCGTCTGTCTCGTGAGCAGCTAGCGCTACTTAGTAGCGGTCTAGTTGAAGGCCTGAAGCGAGGAAACGCGCGGGTCACGTGAGTTGCCCTTTAAGTTGGAAGCTATGTTCGGACATTGTCGCTGGATACTGCGACTAGCATCTCCGGCACTAGCCCGGAGAGCTAGTAGAGGATAAGCTAGATATCCTCCGGTTTCTCCAACCGCTTAGGTTATTCGCAACTGGAGAGACGTCGTTTTTCGGCGCCGGGAAGTGAGCGTGCCTTACAGCTCCGCCACCAATGAGGAGATTTGGTAGTGGACTAAGAGTCGACGGCTTAGCGGTGGCAACTGCTAGTGATGCAATGCGCAACGGGAAGTGAGCGTGCCTACAGCTCCGGTACCGCTCTGGAATGGTGCTCACCCGAGGCACTAGCCTCTCGAAGAACCGGATGAAGTCAAGTGACAGAGGTCTGTGACAACCCTATACACTGGCTGATCTGGGGTCAGAACCTGAACTTATAAGATTCTTGTGCGCGCACAGGTTATAGTGCCCTTCTCGTATGCCTCGTTTGTAGTCAAGGTAGATAGGGAGGGTCACTATGATCAAAACTAAAGTAGAAAGATATGGAGCTTGGATCATGGCCCCCGCGATCCAGGGTATCCCAATTGCGGTGCTATGAGATGATGATGAGTGTGTGCATCCCCTAGCTTGCCACACTTAGAGGTGGAACGTTTTATTCAAATTCCCGCTCAAAAAACCCTCTTTCCAAGAAAAAAGGATCATCAAAATCGGTTGACAGAGCCGGAGTTATCGCGTGACATAAAAACAAAATACAGTCGAATTGAGAACCTCCTCCTTTTTATGCAGTCGATTAAAAATTGCCCTGCTTTATTTAAATAAGAAATCGTCATTTTGCAATCAAGTCGATTTCGATGCGACACATAAATCGAAAGGCGCCGAAATTAACCATCTAAATTTCGACAAGTGTAGCATTACCCACACATAGTAACATTACACACTTAGATTTATTTCTCATAAAACTCATTAATGAAATCAGAGGAGATAACTCCTTACAGCGATTACACACGGGGACTTAGCAGCGATGCAAACGCGATGCAGTCGCTAATCGTCTACCTTTAGACACACGCGCGACTTTAAACAGCGATGCAAGCGCGCGACTGCATCGATACAATCGCGCGATTGTATCGCTGCACTTGAGATCCAAAGGCATCACACGTTTGTATCGATGCAATCGCGCGTTTGTTATGATGCAGTTTGTTAAGATTGCATCGCTGCTAAAAATCACCGCAACCACTGTTAAGGTAATAATACTCCACACAAGTTTATCAAGCCTCAACTCACACTGTCGCGTCGCGTCCTGTTTTCCAACTACGTCGCGACGCGTCGGCTCTGCGCCAGTGTCAGTTGAGCTAGTCGATGTCAACGATGTCTAACAACGGCCATTTTGTCGTGTACAGCGCCGCCGGAACTACTTACCACGTTGTAATCAGTGGCTTAGTTAAGTAAAAGAAATCACGTGCATTTTAATAAAATCCCCTTTCCACATTGGGTCAGCATAGTAGCATTAGACACGTACAACTACTATCAACGTAGGTATATATATGTATTAAAAAACCATACTATAGGGTCTGATAAATACGTTAAAATTTTTTACAAGTTTACACACCTGTAGGATCATCTTCTCCTCCTTTATCATGTGCTAAGAAACCCATAGCCTTTGTAACCTCAGCCTCGACATCGTCTCCCCACCCCAGCTTAGCTTCAAGCATTTGCAGAAACTCATGAAATTCCACCGAGTCGACAAGGTCGTCTTCAAGAAATCTCTTAAACATTTCTTCAACTTCAGCTCCCTTTGGGTTGAAACCGAGCTTTCTTATCATTATAGGTATGTGTTTTAGAGGTACCTGAAAAGCAACTTATTAAAACATCTGACTCATTAACACCCCTTTCCGAAGGTAAACAGTCTAAATTATGATATATTCCCTTGCGTGTTCACGAATTACGTCAACGATGTAATAATGCACATCTGCAAAATGACAATTTTTCAGGAAAAAAACTAAGTTAGTCCATAACTTTTTTATGCTTCGTTAGGAGATTTATAAAATTTCACACATACACAATTTATTTCATAGGTTGTCTATGTGTGTGTCCATGGCACCCGCGACACAGGATTTCCCTAGTGCGGGACTATGTTGAGTGTGTGCGTTATTTATTATTATTTATTTATTAATGTGGAAGTTGGATGTGGAGGTCCCAGGTTCGATTTCCGGTAGGACTAATATGAAATTAACTTTTCGAAATTGGTTCTGCTCTGTGTGTTCTGAGTGAATTCCGTTGCTTTGGTAATCTTTTCACACGAACCCTTTTTACACGGCAACACGTCTGTGTTAACATGTAAAAAGGGTTCGTGAGCAAGCGACGTGTCACGGTTAGTACACGCTTGATCTAAACAAGGACAAAGATCGCTGCGATCTACATTCAGAACGTTGGTATTTTTAATAACGCAAAATCTCCGGCGCTGTCTCTGGTGGGCTGGTCGCACCCGCGGCCCTCTCTCGGACCATTCCGCCATCGTATCTCAGCGTGTTCACGCGTATTACTTACCTCAAATATTTACTATAACTGAATTGAAAACACGCCAGCACATCAACCTACACATTGACGTATCTTGTTTCGTTGCACTGGGGGCGATTTTCGAACAACAATGTGTAGTCTGATGTGCCGTTGTCCGTATTTGAACTTTGAATACACATAATCCAAATGTTTTCAAGTAATTTTATTTGGTGCATCCATAGTAACAAAGTGTAAACAGCAACTGATGCAGGTATGTATGGAATGTGGCTAACATTTTATGTGAATTCAGAAAACATAATTTGTTTGTTGCATCTAAGTTTATTGTAATGATAAGAATGCCGTGTTAATAGAACCTTTCGGCAGTTTAGGGCCACAATGATAAATGACCACAATTAAAAGGGACCACTTCTCAAATTGACCATTTCTGGAATTTACCATTTCTTGAATTGACTACTTCTTGAATAATAGTAAATCTATTAAAATAGTTTTTTAAATAGATTTAGGGATAAATAGGGTTAAAACAAACAAACCCTGTTTTAACCAATAGTAGCGGTAGGTAGAGCTTCTTGTGAGAGTTCGTCCAGGGTACTGCCACCTTACCTATTTCTGCAGCCAAGCAGAAATGTGAGCATTACTTCGTTTTGGTTTTGAAGGGTAAGGGTTCGGGTGAAATTACAGGCACATGGGACTTGTCAACTTATATCTCAGCGCGACGAGCGCAGTCAGTGCCCCTCATATCACTGCGGTTTAAATTGTTATGGACATGCGTGTAGCTTACCATCAGACGCACGACTTGTTCGTCTCGTCACTCGATAATAATAAAAGAAAATAGTTACTTAAATTAAATATCTGCGGCAATACCTTATCGATATTTTCCTCATCAAACAATTTGAACACCTCTTTGAATAACGCGATTTCGTCAGTTTTAAAACAGGCTGGAGGAGGTGGGATCTTTTTAGGTGGTGGCGGCTTCATGTTCTTCGGGTCTATGCCAGCTACGGGTCCTTTCGCCTTTGGGTCTGCTTTCCCTTTCCCTTTCCCTTTTGGAGGCATCTTGGGTAACTCAAGCCTATGTAATAAAAAAACATTAAAAAAGAAAAGTAGATATAGTTAGGAGCATTCTTCACATAATGATGTATAAATATAACATGAATGTTATATGTTAATGAGATTATTTATTACTGAATCCCCCCCAAAACTGAGAGAGTCACTGATTTATAAATAATAGACCGGACAGTCAGGTGAATGTTGACGTTAAATTGACGTTAAATAATAAAAATCAAAGAGTGATTTATATGAAACCAAATAGAACTTAATCAATGACTACAATAAATAACATATATAATTATTTTTATTTATATAAAAAAGGCCAAAAGGTAGGTTATACAATAAATATTTCTTTTTTGAGGTACTATCAATGATGATTGCAGCGAATCGTAGCAGTCGCTACAAATCTCTTTTCTATATATTTTATAATCTCTTGAAGTTATAGTTTTATAACTAAATTCTAAATTTAAATGTGTTTATTTTTGGCACCTTTTTCTTTACTTTAGCTAGTTTTGTTTTTGCTGTTTTGCTGTAATAGCTACGTGGTGTTTTTCTAATAACTTATTAAAAGCTGTAAGTACATTCTCTAGGCCTTGCTCACTAGTTGTTAGCACCCATCCCTTCACCCATTTTAACAGTCCGCTACAATGATCTTATATTATTATAATATTAGGGCTAACCGCGAAAAGCAAAGAAAAATAAGAGAAAAAAATATTTATTAAAACTTTTGAAATTTTTAAATTCTTTCGCGTTTCTCTAATGTGTTACGCATTTTTTTGTTCTCGGCTTTCCGCGGTGAACGACTTTATCTTTTGTCTTTTTACGGGAAAACTTATAAAAAGGAAATTTGGGAACGGGATTAGTTAATGAGAAATCGTAGATCAATGACTCTCCATTTAACAGCCGTGTCTAAGCATACAACCATTCACCTTTAACTGTGCCTACTATAACCGCGCGGAGCCAAAGTAATTAGAGCTGTTTGTTACATACGACGACTTTTAAACGCTTAATAATTACACTACCCGATTTCAAGGAACCCTAACTCTAATTTAGGGAGGTGTAATAAGACTTAGGGAATTAGGGTCTCTAATTTAAGCGACGTTTACTGGTAAAAGTTAATCGGCGGGCCGAGCAGAAGCGTCTTTTTCGCTCTTATTGCATAGACATTAAAGCTTTTCCGTGTCGATAAGTGTGGTGATTCCCTAAAGAAAAGCCGTGATAGCCTCGTTTGACCTACCGCCTGTCAAGCAGAGGCCGTGGATTCGAATCTCGGCTCTTGAGTTTCTCGGAATTTATGAACTTTTCTGTGAAGGACAGCATCGTGATGAAATCTATACTTCGAACGTACAGTACAGTCCTTGTAAAACATAAATCCCAACCCGCCTGTGAGGAGACTCGTGCCCAGCAGTGGAACGTATAAACTGGTTGATGATAGAATGTATGACTCCCTAAAGACTGACAACTTTATTGCGATTGGAATGCTGACGCGCTGCTAAGAGCGGTTACGGTTAGCGTATACCTTTACACACGCGCGCGATTCCAAGCAGCGATGCAAGCGTGCGACTGCATTGATACAAACGCGCGTTTATATCGATGCAGTCGCCTATAAATCGCAAGATGCAATCGCGCGTTTTATATTTTATAACCACTCTTAGATTTTAAAATTAAATTTGTTAGAAATTCCCAGCAGTGAACCTGTTCCAAGCAGGGGAATTCGCCTTACATTATAATCCTATGTCTATGGTTATAATCACAGACCACATAAGTTATAACAGATGTTTGATGAGTACTTTCAACAAAAGCGGCCCATACCAAAATAGTCGATTTTTGTCTTTAGTAAGCTGCATTTAGAATGAGCTAACCACATGCGATTCGCAACCCCTACCACCCCGGCCCGTAAAGGGTAGCTGCTGCATACTTTAAATCAACCGCAAAATGGCGGCTATCTGGTTTCGAAAATTAGAAAATTACTCAGTTTAAAAGCAGATTTTATGATGAAAATTACTATTCAGCGTTGCTAAATAAATAACCTCCGTATGGTAATACGGACTACTAAAAAACTAAAAAATACCATAATACAATAACGCACCGCAAACTTTTTTTTTTTTTTATTATTATATATTAAGGCTTTGGCAAAGCCATCAGCCTAAACATGAAGTTTAATTATGTTTCTGTAAATATGGCCGCCACAAAGAGGATAGGCAATTTGAGGCGGCGTGCTTGGATTGACTCGGGATTCCTTAAAACGGGCCGATACGGATATTTTAGTTCGAGATTCGTATAATTTCGCGTTTTAATCTTCGATTAAGGTACAATAGCACTATCCTATTCCACTTTAAACTAGATTTCACAAAATAATTGAAAGTCAAAATAAAAGCGACACTTTTCGCTCCAAAAGGTCCAGAGCGAATCGCACCGCAAACTCTGTACTTGTAAAGCACAAACGAATTTTTTGATGTAGGTAGGTACTTGCATAAATATGATTCAGTTTGAATGATTCTAATTGTAACGTTTACTATGAAATTATTCTTTAATGTATTGTTTATGAACATTTACAATCAGGGTACACTGCCGACTATTACTAGAAAAAAAAAACACAAAAATACGATGGAAAAATATTAATAGTATTTTGAAGATTAAGATCTCGTGATTTAGTACTATTTAACTGGAAATAAAAAAAATAACAGTAAAAATTATCTAACCTACATTTTTTTCTTACGCACACTCGTTCATAGCCCCGCACTAGGAAAACTCTGTATCGCCGGGTGCCATGGATACACACATAGATAACCACAAATTACACCCAAACTCCCAAAATAAAAAATACATATAGACCATACAAATATTTCTCCTGGCCCGGGAATCGAACCCGGGACTTCAGCGTGGCAGTCCAGTATGGTAACCGTATGGTAGGCCGCGGAGAGGCAGTTAAATCAGATACTAATATGAAATACGAGTTAAATACCTGAAAATCAACTTTCATAACTTTTTTACAAGAAAAACCGATCTCAAAAGTTCTTGGAATTACACCTATTTGGATAGTTTCTAGAAATCGGTTAATGGCAATGTCTCGATCGTTATCTACCGTAAGTGTGTTAGCGAGAGAATCACAACATTTTTGTAAAGAAATAAAATTGAACAAGCTCGTTATTATAAAAAGAAAGCGTGATAAAAATTTTGTAAATATATTATTGAAGGAAATTAATAAGCTAAGTGATTTTCCTAAGGTATTAGTATTGAATGACGTAGTACCAGTAACAAAAAAAGATACTAAAATTGTAATATTGAATGACTTTCATCTATTACCCAGCAGTGGCCACGCGGGGGTAAATAGGATGCTGAATAATATTAAGAAATATTACTACTGGCCAGGAATTACTAATGACGTCACAGAATCGTAAGAAAATGTAAGAGTTGTCAAATTCAGATACACTCGAACAGGCATACTAGAGAACCGATGGTTATTACTCATATCAACTACTCCTAGTACAGCGTTTGAAAGGGTTAGTTTGATTTAATGGGACCTTTAGATATTGATAATTATAATAGTAAATATATTTTAACTCTGCAATGTAACTTAACTAAATATATAAAAGCGTATCCGCTAGAAAAAAAGGATACAGTGTCGGTTGCTAGTTTATTTGTAAATAATTTTATATTGAGATATGGTATCCCAAAAGAGATAATTACGGACCAAGGGACATAGTTCATGTCGCCAGTTATGGTTAAAGTATGTGAATTGTTAAAAATTAACAAACTTCACTCGACCGCGTATCACCACGAAACTATAGGTTTGTTAGAGAATACACATAAAAATTTAGGAGCGTTTCTTAGGATTCAGTGTAGCAATAATTCAAGTGATTGGAGCACTTGGCTACCATTTTGGTGTTTTTAATATAATTCGACCGCGCATACCGAGACACAATACACTCCATACGAACTAGTGTTTGGAAAACTTTGTAATCTGCCAAATAATTTGTTGTTTTCTGATGTAGACCCTTTATATAATCCTGATGTTTATCCTTTACAACTAAGATACAAGTTACAACGAGCGCAGGCCGACGCTAGAAATAATTTATTAAAAGGGAAAAGTTTAAGAAAGATAAATTACGATAAACACATAAATACTATAAAATATAAGAAAGATTATTTAATATTGTTGAAAAACCAAGTAGGAAGTAAATTAGACAACATTTATTTAGGACCATATATTGTTATTGAAGATTTGTTTAGTTTGTTAAGTTTACATTTTATTTTATATTGTATTATTTATTTATATTCTGGAGACCGAACAATAAACATGTCTCTTTAAATCAATGTATTTCACTCTACCATCTACGTCCATTATTTTTAATAATACGAGAGCGAGCGTGTGTATTTGCTAGTGTGTGTATATCTACATAAGTGTGTATATCTAATAAATTGCGTGTATTATAATAGTTGTATTTGTTGTAAAGAGGTAACAATAAGTGAACATAATAATATGTAGGTGTTAAAGCAATACAATCTTAACGTGCGGTGGTAATAAGCCAAATAGAATTTTGTACTCTGCTAATAAATCACGAATTGTACGAAGTCAGAGTTTCTACAGAATGTCTGCCTAGAGAATGGGAGCCTACTAAGGAAAATTGACAATAAAAGTCATAACTTATGCAATTTAAATTTTTATTAGTTATGAACGTACGCTTCACATATCTGGGTACTAGATAATCACAGAAAAAATATGAAACTAAAATAAAATATTTGGTTAAAAACCTAAAACATGTCATTCGCTCTCATTACTCCACAGTTCGGGAAATGGAAGCCCGTAAGAATCCCGTATGTCAAATGGTAATCATTATATATAATCAGTCTGAAAAAAAGGATTAAAATATATAAGTTAACAAGTAATGAAAATAAACAAGAAAGTGTTAACGGAATATCCAGTGAATATTGCAATGGGATAAGGAGAGCCAAATAGCTCTCATTATCTGCGTAACATCGAATTGAAAAAGGAATAAAACAGTAAAAACATTTCTATTTTTATTGTGATTTCAAGCATAACTTCTAAAATGTGATAGATATGGTGACATAGCTAGTGTAAATACCATGTAGTATCTATGCATTTTAATGCTTACCCAGGTAATACAATGCAGTATCTACGCATTTTAATGCTTACCTTTTTTTTTTTTTTTAGATACTACATTGTATT